TTTCTTTTCAAACTCTTCTAGTTTGATTTGCAAATCTTTGATTTTACTTTCAAGATCGTTGTTGGTTTTGGATATGAGTTTGTTTTCATTTTTCAATTTTGAAACATCATTTTTATATTTTAAAAACAATTTCTCATAATCTGAAGCCAACCCATTGTATTCCTCAAATAACTCATCATAAGATAAATCATCAAAATCGGATGAGTTAGAGGTTACCTTAGAATCTTCCCCGAATGCCATCAAGCACAAGTTTGCTACTTCCTGTTCCTCTTCATCGGAACCTTCTTCATCGCTCCATACAGCCATATGAGCCTTGTGCTTATTCTTTGATTGACCCTTCTTCTTCAATTGTGGGCAATCATATTTGACATGCCCTGGCTTTTTGCATTCATAGCAAATGATCGGGTCCTTCTCTTTTGGTTCATCTTTGAGGCCTTCATTTCGTTTGAATTTTCTTCCTCGGTAAGGTCTCATCATTTTTCTGAACCGTTTGGCAAACAATGCCATTTCCTCGTCATCATCATCATCATTAGAATCACTCTCATCTTTTGTGGATTTGAGAGCAACTCCAATGTTTTTCTTCTTCTCCTTCTCCTTTGGTGTCTCTTCAACTTTATCAAGGTCCACCTCATCTTCAAGCATCATCTCATGAGTGAGGAGTGAACCGATAAGTTCTTCAAGAGTTAAGGACGATAGGTCCTTAGACTCGATGATTGCCGTCTTCTTTGATTGCCATGATTTTGGGAGGGAGTAGACTAACTTCCTCACAAGCTTTTCATTTGAGATGATTTGTCCATATGATTTGAGACCATTGACAATCGTTGAAAATCTATCCGTCATAGCTTTGATGTCTTCATTTGGTTTCATCCTGAAATTTTCATAGCTATGCGTTAGAATACTAATTTTTGATTTCTTTACCTCATCGGTACCTTCATGTGTGACTTGAAGCTTGTCCCATATTTCTTTGGTGGTTGTACACGATGAAACTCTTCCGTATTCATCTGGTCCAAGAGCACAAAAGATAATATGGATGGCTTTGGAGTTGAGCTGGAACATTTTTGTATCTCCTTCACTCCACAACCTTGGATGAGTGATAGGCTTAATGTATCCTTCTTCTACGGCATTCCATGCTCCCATGTCACTTGCTTGAATGAAGTACATCATTCTATTCTTCCAATAGGCGTAGTTAGCTCCATTGAAGAAATGAGGCTTGTTGACGGGCATCGAATCGAGACCGGAGTCGAAGTTTGAAGCGGAGGCCATTGATGACTTTAATAATCGATATAACTCTTCCCGAATCGACTCAAGAGGCGATAAAACCTTCAAATGAGTTAGGCTCTGATGCCAATTGTTGAGTTAATCGAATGACGAAATTGGCCAAGGGGGGGTGAATTGGCAATAAAAATTTGTGGAAGCTTTTGCAGAAAATTGAAAGTAATTGCACAGCGATTTACAGTGGTTCGACTTTCTCAAACAAAGTCTACGTCCACTACCTTAGCTATCCACACTAAGGATTTTCCAACAAATTCACTAATTTGTTCTTTCTTTTGAGGCCAAAGAGATAACCTTACAATTCCCTCAAGAGTATACCCCAACTCTTGAGAACACTCTTTTCTCAAAGAGAAGATTACAAATTTGCAAACTTACAAGAAAACCTCACAAGGTAAGATGTTTGCACAATTCTAGAACAAAGAAAAGAACACTCAAAGATGAATACAATTGAGCACAAAAAGTGTTCTTGAAAGCAAAATGAATATTGAATGAAAATAGGCTTGAAATGCTCAAACTTGAGGTTTGATGCTTTCTCTTTGATTCTCTCTTGATTCTAGTTGCTTGATGTTTCTTGTTGTTGATCAATGGCTTCTAAGCTTGCTTAAATACACCTTGGATCACTTCTGAACGTTGGGGATAATTAGAGAAGATATTATAGCCGTTTTAGTGTGAAAACATTTAATAAAACAGCTTGGAGCGTGGGGGGAACCGGTTCCCCATCATAGGGAATCGGTTCCCTAAGTGTAAAATTCAAATATTTCGACCGTTGAACAGGGGGGAATCGGTACCCCCTTGGGGGGGATCGGTTCCCTCCGAGCATACTGGAATTCTCGGAACAAAAATGTTTAGGGGGGAATCGGTTCCTCCTATGGGGGAATCGGTTCCCTCCGAGCATTCTGGAAATCTCGGAGCCAAACCATTCAGGGGGGAATCGGTTCCTCCTATGGGGGGAATCGGTTCCCTCTGAGCAATCTGTAATTTTTGGCTTTGAATTGGTTCGAAATACTTTGTAAAATTATTTTGAAATTGTTTTATGATTAAAACTTAATTTTACACTTAAGTAAGGATTAAAAATGATTTTTGAAATATTTGGAGTAATGTTTTGATATTCGAATAGTTATATCGAATATACTTAGAAAATCATTTGGAAAATCTTAAAATCCATTTAACTTAATTTGTTATATCGAAATATTAAAATGTTTCAACAAAATCCAACTTACCGAAAGTATTAGTAAGACATCCTAACTTTGACTTATTAGTGGCATGTACATTATATTTGTTGGGTTGCTTTATCAGATTTAATTTAAAAAAAGAATCTGTAATATTAATTTAAAAAAGAATCTGTAATATTAATTTAGAACTATTTTGATTTTTGGTTAATTTTAGTTATAATCGTATTTATAAATGAATATTATTATGATTGTTTTTAAATGGTTTTTAAAATTAAGCAGTATTTAGGCAATGATATATATATATATATATATATATATATATATATATATATATAGTTATGATCAGCTCTGAACTGCCTACTTACTGATTGAAATTGGACTTGTTTTCAGTTATTAAATTTATTTTTACGGTTTTATACGAATAAGGTTAAGGTTTTTAAATTAAAGCAGAGAAGGTTTAAACTTAAAACGAGGTTTTAAATCTTTATGCTTAGTAAATGTTCGTCATGTTAATGTGACATTTGTGGCTTGTATATCGATATATATATATATGGGATATGGGTGTTACAGTTATCGTATTATTCTAAATGCTGAACTTTGGGGTCTTTATGAAAGTTTGGAGATGGCTTGAGAGTTAGGATTGAGGAATATCATGGTGGAGTCGGATTACAATGACGCTCTCAATATCCTTCAGCGAGGTGAAAGAGCAGATGGAGGCTCGCACCTAACCCCACATTTGTTCAAGATCCTCTCGAGATGTTGGCATGTCTGGTTATCTTACACACCACGTGAGGGGAATAAAGCTGCGGACGCTATGGCGAAGTTTTCATGGACGCTTCCCTTTGGTCGGAATCGGTTCAGTACTCCTCCTGTTGAAGTTGAATCAATTTTGCAGGATGATTTGGACATAGCCATTGCTTAGCTAGTTTACTGTTTTTCACTCCTTTTGTATTAAAAAAATAATAATTAGGCGTGTTCAAATTCGGGTACCCAGATCCTAAGATACTTAATTGGTCAGCTTGTGTCCTGATTCCGATGTTGCAGGTACCCAGTTACCCTAGTAATTGGATACCCTAATTTTGCGGTTATCCGTAATTCACATAATTGGGTACCAATTTTTTTTATCATTTTCAAATTATTAATTAAAAACTTACACAAATTTAAATGTTCGAGTTACATACTCAAACATCCAAACATAGAATTTAAAAGTGGTTTTTTTTTAATTTTATTAGTTTAATTTAATATATAAAATTATTGATAATTAAATATGTAATAGTATTATATATAAAAAATAAATGTAACAGGTACCAGAAAAGTTTTAATTTTATTACCCGACCCTGACCTGGAAAATGTCAGATCGAGTACCCGTCCCAAAACTTGAACATTTTTTTAAAAAAAATACCCGGAATTTTTTTATCGGACAAATCGGGTCATCCTAGTCTAGTATTTTTGAACACCTGTGGTTTTAATCTCAATAACAATGGAGAGGAATACAATATCATTTAAATCGATAATGAGATAATATAAACATTACGTTTATTGGATTTATTTTATATAATATTTTAAAATATACTCCAACATTAAGCTTATGAATGTATTTTGAATAAAATATTAAAACCTATACACGATCCAATGTGAAAGTTTCACATTATGACATCTCTATTTTATTAGTATTAATTTTATTTTTATTTTAATGTATTTTTAGTTACTGATACAATAATTTAATTTTTTATAAAAATAAATATGATTTTTTTAATATATTTTTATGATTAAAAATTATGATTTTTTCTAATTTTAAAATATTTATATTTATATATTCAATTAATCGCAACTTTAATTTTTAAATTTGTTTGTACTACTAGAAATACACAAACTATTGCTAATAAAAAGGGTAAAATACACTATTTCTCACTAAAATTTACTCTCTCTCCTATTTTACTCATTGTATTTTTAATTTTTCTAATTTACTAACTGAACTTCAAATTATTCTTGTTTTGATCGATTTAAATTATTTTATTATTATTTTTGTATGACATGATATTTTTATTATTATTTAATATAATAATAATTTTATTATTATTTCAAAGATCAATGGTGGACGATGATTATTTTAAGTCTTTTTAAATTTAATAATAGTAAAATATTATTTTATTATTTATTTTAAATTATTTTTATATTAAATAATAATAAAAGTATCATGTTGTAAAAATAATAATAAAATAATTCAGAGTGATCAAAATAGACATAATTCAAAAGTTTAATGAGTAAAGTAGAAAATATGAAAATAAAATGAATAAAATAGGAGAGAAGTAAAATTTAGTGAAAATAGTGTAAGTTATTCTAAAAGAGTTAGTTAGTGAAGCAAAATATAAACTGGTTACACCCGGCTGACCCATGGGCCGAAAGAGATTCCCGGAAATAATATAAACGGCACGTGAGAAGAGAGTGGCACGTGTGAGATTTAAAAAATCTAGGGTTTTGGGGGCCGAAGAGCAGGAGAAAAGCCTAGCTGCCCGTTCCCACTCAGTGTGTGTATTTTCACATCCCGCTTCCTCCATCATTCGAAATTGATTTATATATAAATACCTGAAATCATCAAATCCTGTATCTTCAAAAATCCATAGCTTCCGCCATTTCTTCGTAGATTCCTTCTCTCTCCCTCTTTTCATTTTGTTTCCCTTTGACAATTCTTTGTTTGGCTTTGGTATCGGCTGGAAAACGGCATAAGAACACACTGGGAAGAGTGTTTTCGTGTGTGTGTGTGTGAGAGGAAAAACCCTAGGTTCTCTTTGCCCTCTGTGTGTGTTTATTTCGAAACTCCCCTGCTCCATCGGAGACTTGATTGAGGTATATCAATCTCTACTTCAAGTTCGTCTGTGCCTTGTTCATATCTGTTTTAGTTTCAGATCTATGGTTTTTTGCTTGTACTTCAGTGGGTTTTTGTTGTGTTTTGGTTTTCAGCTTTGAAAAAAATTAGTTTCGCTTTATTTCTTCTTTTCCAAATCTGTAGATCTTGGTTTGTTTGTTCTTTTTGTTTGATTATCGTCACTCACGTGTGTTCTTTTGTTCTGTTTGGTTGATTCTCCGATTTGTAAAGGAATGAGATTAAAGCTTTTATGTTATGTTCTAAGGTCTTCTCCCTTTGCTTAGCAATAATTGTTTGATTCTTGTGATTGTGCGAAGGGGGATTGAAGAACTTTTGGGTTTATGTAAATGTAAGATAGACCCTTGAAACATTAAATTGTAATGCTTTTATTTCTTAGTTTAGGTTGAACTTCAAAATCAAATAATATGAAAATACCATTGAGAGGGTTAGTGATTGAGAAAATTAGCTTTGAACACAGAAGTTACTGCATGTACTTGGAATTATAATATTCTTATTTAAGCATAGGGATTTAATTTCGTTTTAGTGGAAAGTATGGATTTACCGTTTCAGCATATTTGTCATTGTTTACCTATCATTGGAAATGGTATTCTACTCTATATTAAGCTTGGTAAATGTTGATTTTTGTTTGTTGGATAATTTGTGTGGTTTTGATAAGTTCTTTCCTTCAACATCTGCTCCAAGGCTCCAACCATGATTATTACTGTCTATGACTGTTTGATATTGCTCAATTATAATATGCTGCAATCTCTATTGATGGATTTGTGTCTTAGCCACCAATGCTGATTAGTTCTTTTTTTTTTCCAATTGCAGTGTAGTTAAAATGGCTATGGAGATCACTCAATTTCTGCTGGCTGCCCAATCAGCAGATGCAAAAGTCCGGACTGAGGCAGAGACTAATCTGAGGCAGTTCCAAGAACAGAACATGCCTCTTTTCCTTCTTTCATTGTCAGTTGAGCTTTCAAATGATGAGAAGCCTGTTGAGTCCCGTAGATTGGCTGGTATTGTGCTTAAGAATTCGTTAGATGCCAAAGATGCTATTAGGAAGGAACAACTTGTTCAACAATGGATGGCAATCAATGTTTCTATTAAGTCTCAAATCAAAGACTTTCTCTTGAAAACTCTTGGCTCATCTGTTCCCGAAGCGAGGCACACTTCTGCTCAAGTTATTGCAAAAATTGCTTCAATTGAGGTTCCTCGGAAGCAATGGCCTGAACTGATTGGGTCATTGCTTAATAATATGACCCAGCAAGACAAACCTGCTGCCCTGAAACAAGCTACCTTGGAAACACTGGGATATGTTTGTGAAGAGATATCTCATCAGGACCTTGTTCAGGATGAAGTCAATGCTGTTCTCACTGCTGTTGTCCAAGGGATGAATCTAGCTGACCATGGCCCTGAAGTTCGGCTTGCAGCAACCAAAGCTCTGTATAATGCTTTAGAATTTGCACAGACCAACTTTGAGAACGAGATGGAACGGAATTATATCATGAAGGTTGTATGTGACACTGCCATGTCCAAAGAGGTGGAAATCAGGCAGGCTGCTTTTGAGTGTCTTGTTGCAATAGCATCAGCATATTATGAGGTGCTGGAGCCTTACATGCAAACCCTATTTCAGCTTACATCAAATGTTGTAAAAAGCGATGAAGAGACAGTAGCACTCCAAGCAATTGAATTTTGGAGCTCTATCTGTGATGAAGAGATTGAGCTTCAGGAGTTTGAGAGTCCTGAAAGTGGTGATTCTGGACCTCCCCATTCTTGTTTCATAGAGAAGGCTTTATCGTCTCTTGTTCCTTTGTTGTTGGAAACTTTGCTGAAGCAGGAAGAGGATCAGGACCAGGATGATACAATCTGGAACATATCAATGGCAGGTGGGACTTGTCTAGGTCTTGTTGCCAGAACAGTTGGTGATGCTATAGTGCCTCTTGTGATGCCATTTGTGGAATCTAACATTGTGAAGCCAGATTGGCATTGTAGAGAGGCTGCCACTTATGCATTTGGATCTATTCTTGAAGGCCCATCTGTTGAGAAGCTGTCCCCTCTCGTACAGGCGGGTCTGGAGTTTTTGCTTAATGCTATGAAGGATGGGAACAACCAAGTGAAGGACACTACAGCTTGGACTCTTAGTCGTATTTTTGAGTTACTGCACAGTCCAGCTAACGGTTTTTCTGTCATTTCTCCTGAGAATCTCGAAAGAGTTTTGGCTGTGTTGTTGGAGAGCATTAAGGATGCTCCCAATGTAGCTGAGAAAGTTTGTGGGGCAATCTATTACCTTGCCCAAGGCTATGAGGAAGCAGGACCAAGCTCCTCTCTTCTTTCACCATATCTCACTGAAATAATTAGCTGTCTAATTACAACTGCTGATCGGACAGATGGGGGTGACTCCAAGCTCAGGTCTTCTGCTTATGAAACCTTGAATGAAGTTGTCAGATGTTCCAACATTGCAGAAACATCTTCCATCATAGCACAGCTATTACCGGTAATTATGAGTAAGTTGGGCCAGACTATGGATATTCAGATTGTGTCATCGGATGATAGGGAAAAGCAAGGGGACTTGCAAGCTTCTCTTTGTGGTGTTCTACAGGTTATCATCCAGAAATTTAGCAGCACAGATGAAACCAAGCCCATCATACTTCAGGCTGCGAATCAGATCATGCTTCTGTTCCTAAAGGTGTTTGGTTGCCGTAGCTCTACTGTTCACGAGGAAGCAATGCTTGCAATAGGTGCTCTTGCTTATGCAACTGGATCTCAGTTTGAGAAGTATATGCCTGAGTTCTACAAGTATCTTGAGATGGGATTGCAGAATTTTGAGGAATACCAGGTATGTGGAATCACAGTTGGGGTTGTTGGTGACATCTGCCGTTCCTTAGATGACAAGATCTTACCTTATTGTGATGGCATAATGGGTCTTCTTCTAAAGGATCTTGCTAGTTCAGAACTTCATCGGTCTGTAAAGCCTCCCATATTCTCTTGCTTTGGGGACATTGCTCTTGCAATAGGAGAGCACTTTGAGAAGTATGTCCCCTATGCTTTACCCATGATGCAGGGTGCAGCCGAAATCTGTGCTAAGATGGAAACTTCTGACGAGGAGATGGTCGATTATGGCAACCAGCTCAGGCGTAGTATTTTTGAAGCTTATTCTGGTATCCTTCAAGGTTTTAAGACTGTGAAACCTGAGGTGATGGTGCCGTATGCTCAACATCTTTTAAAGTTCATAGAATTGGTCTCTAGAGACAGTGAAAGGTAGTTTTTATTTTCTGTATTATATCATCTTTAGTACATTGGTTCTTAGCCTTTTGTATTATCCATCTAAATACATGGTTTTTTCCATGTATTGCAGGGATGAAAGTGTGACAAAAGCTGCGGTAGCTGTTATGGGTGATCTAGCAGATGCTCTTGGCTCCAACATAAAGCTCATGCTGAAAGAATCTGCATTTTATGATGAATTTCTCGGCGAATGCCTCCAATCCGATGATGAGCAGCTCAAGGAGACAGCAGGATGGACCCAGGGTATGATTCAACGAGTCATGGTTTTATGAGCTGATTTTTAGTCCTCGAGGTAAAGTCGTCATCTGAGTCCGTCGTTTGTTACAAAGTGTCTTTTGTTCTAGTTCTGGTAAAGGTTTTGAAAAGGGTGAGGATCCGAAAGGGGGTTACTACTGCATTTATTGCATTTATTATTACGAATTTGGGTTTTGAATTTGTCGAAGGGTTTTCTTAATCCTAATGTGATTGGTTTGGGGCATATGTCAAAAACAGTTTATCTAATGCATCCTATCAATCGGTGGTTTGATGAGTTAATCTTTTGCTGCTTCTTCCATATATTCTTATATTATATGTTGATGGTGACAAGGAATTTATTTATTCAGCCGGAAGCCTTATATATATGTCTTTCCCATTGAATGAGTAGTTTGTCCAACTAAATCTCTTCATTAAAAAAAAATCATAAAAATATTGATTAAATAAGAATTTCCATGAAATGGTAACTCTAAGAAGCTGCCAGGTAAGGAAGACGACCCACAGGGAACCTTTATTCAGGTTTGATTGCAGATTTGGAATTTCATTTCCTTAATCATGTTTCTTTCTATATTAGATTAATTATCCTATGCCTAAATGACCTTACTGCATCTCTATCTTTTATTTTATATATACTCAAGCTAAACTGGAAATTGAAACTCAAAGCAAATCAAAGTACTTTTAACCCTCCGAAAATTCATCGGAAAGATGATGCAATCGGAGAACTTTACCCCTTCTTGGCCATTCAACAGTCTGATGGATTTGGAAGGCTTTGGTCTTAACATGGATGTTCATTTTGATGGTTCTTCATTTGCTACTAGAGAGGAGTCCTGTTTCTCTACGATGTTATCCGATGCGATTTTCCCATACCCGGCCTATGGTTATGATGATCGGCTTCAGGTCACAGTACCATGGGAAGAATTTTCAGTTCCCTTGGTGGAGCTTGATTCTCTGTTGACTGTTGATGGGGTTGGTGAAGAAAGTTTTCCCTTGTCACGCAGTCACAGCCATGTTCCCTCAGAGGCAAGATGTATGGAGTCCTTGTCGGTTGAGTGAGGCATCGGTTTGTATGACAACAGCACGATCTATGCCGGGCCTAGGAGAAGCTATGATGGGAATTGATAACCAGTTGACCCTATTTCATCTTCTCAGCGCATACGGAGAAGCTAAAGAGAAGAACCAGACAGAGCTTGCAGAGGTGGTCTTAAGGCGTGTGAGCGAGAAAGGTAGTCCGGTTGGCGAAACCTTGGAACAGATCGCGTTCAATTTATCGTCTAAGGATGTTCAAAATCAAAGAGATTATTAATGCAAGAGTCTAACAAGAACTTTGAGGTAGCCTTCAAGACTTTCTATCCTATATTCCCAGGGAGGTTTGCTTATTTTGCTTCTAACTCGGCAATCCTCGAAGCCATGCCGAACGATATAGACGTGCTACACATAGTGGATTTTGACATTAGAGTGGGGATTCAATGGCCTCCGTTGATCGAGGCCATGGCAATGCAACACAAGACATTGAGACTGACATCAATAAGATGGGAACACTTTGGACACTCTCCGTGGAGGTTTCAGGACACAAAAGTCCATCTTTGCAACCTTGCTAGGACTTTTGGCCTAAAGTTCTAAATCGAAGATTTAGCGAACGAGCTCTAGGAAACAAAGAAACGAGGCGGAAGTCAAGAATGGTTGGCCTTCAATTGCATGGTGGGACTCCCACACATGGGCAAACGCAAGAACAGGAAGCTTGTCAACAAGTTCCTAGACATAGCTAAACAAGTATTAGCAACAAACAGGGGAATCATAACACTTGGTGATGGAGATGCTTGTGAAAAACTGAAAGATAGTTCCGGTTTTGGGGCATTCTTCAATGGACAATTGACGCACTACCGAGCTATTATCGAGTCGATGGAATCCGACATTGCGAAGCACTTGGTCCAAGCAAGAATAGCAATGGAGTGTCTGTTTATATGGCCTAATATAAATGCCCAAGCTTGGTTCCAAAAGTGGGAACATATGAATGAAACTTGCCGGTTCATCGATATTTCGAGGTGGGGACGACATTGGAAGGTTTGAAGGTGAGCAGATAAAGACTAATGGAAGCTAAAGAAACGGTGAGGGAGAAGGAGAATTCATATGAGGTAAGAATTGGAGGGAATTCTGGGCATGAACTGGCCTTGGAGTGGAGAGGAAATTTATTGGTCAAAGTGTCTTGCTGGAGAAATCAAAGCTAACTTTTTATACGTACTTGGATGTAAAATACGAATTATTGAGGGTTTATTTATGTATAAATTGTATAAATAGGGAAAACTATGAGTAAATAATTTAATGTACTCTTGTAATTTGTTGGTTGTTTATTGGGGTATTTGACATGAATGTCCCTTGTAAAATGTAAATTTGTCAATATAGAGAAATAATAGAACTCTGAGAATAATCCGAATAAAGAAAAACTATTATGGAAAAAAATGAAATTATTGCGTCGACAGCAGGACTCAACCCTACACAGACCAACAGAATTTTCGAGTTTGTACCCTTAACCACTCGGACATATCAACCCTGTTGAATCTGATGATGGACTAAATGTTAAATAAGCTGAAAGTATAAGGACTGGGTGCACAATTAAACCAAAGAAGAACTATTACCATTACCGTATGTGCAACTAAATAAAAAGGCATATAAACGTCGACAGGAGGATTCGTACCTGCGCAGGCACAGCCCAACAGATTTCGAGCCTGTCTCCTTAACTATCGACGCTGTAAAAAACTGATCAAGGACTAAATATGGCATTTCCTAAGATTAGAAGGACCGTGTGCAAAATAAACCAAAGAACTAATTTCCATTACCATATAAGCAATTAAATAAAAGGAATGATAACGTCGACAGCAGGATTTTAACCTGCGCAGGCACAGCCCAACAGATATCAAGTCTGTCTCCTTAACCACTCGGACATATCGATGCAGTCAAGATTTGATCAAGGACTAAATTACAGATTTGCTAAGAGTAGAAGGATTGTGTGCAAAATATACCAAAGAATAACTAATTACCCTTACCATATATGAAATTAAATAAAAATACGGCTACAGCAGGATTTGAGCATATCGACGTAGTCAAGAGCTGATCAAGGACTAAATATCAAATGCGTTAAGAGTATAAGAACTGGTTGCACAATTAAACAAAAAATAAATATAAACGTCGGCAGCAGGCACAGCCTAGAAGGACATATCGACAAAGTTGGGAACTGATTAATGACTAACTTTAAAATCTGGTAAGCCTAGAAGGACTGTTTGCAAAATTAAACCAAAGAAGAACTATTACCATTACCGTATAAGCAAGAAAATAAAACAATTCAAACTATAACATCTAAAAATGGATGATTACAGGAGGAGTAAATTTGAATTTGACCCAGCAAAGATGACTGCTAATTGCTTTTACTTCCTAGTGCAGAATGGAGATTTCATCATATAAATAAATCATAACAACCATAAGTACATTATATAAGGTAGGCCAATGACAATGATCATAGTACAACAAACATATATATGCTGTTGCTTCCATGTTCCTCCGATCCGGGATATTCGTACCGCAGATCGGAGAAACTGAAGATTTCTCTCCAGTTACATTTTCACCAAAACTGTCTTGTAGGCATTGCAGATGTAGGCTATGAAATTTCCGTATTGCTGCACCCCCAAACTTTTCAAAGGATCTGAGACTAACATGATAGTGAGGCTGATTGTTCACTGTCACCCACGGAACGTATAAATGTTTCGGATTTAGATCATCGGTTTCAGTGGCATACCGCAGTAAGAGCTGCATTTACATTCAGTTTACATCGGCTGTAAACATGTCACATATAATGATAACTAGCATCTGGTTTTATTATAGAGTTTGTGAATGGTGAAGCAGCTGCTATGGACAAAGCACAAGCTATGGCCTCTTTTAAGGCCCTATTTCAACTTTGTTCGGCATAGCAGCCCGAATGGATTTTAGTTGCCATCTTCCTATTTGTTGAACCAACACTGCATGATTGTGCATTGCAGGCCTCTGGTTTAGGGTCACCTTGATAAGCATCACAGACATATTTCACAAATTTTTCATAGTCCTGCACCACGAAATAAATATCGGAGTTACTTGTCGCAGAAGTTACTTCGAAGTCGCGAGAGAAAAAAAGAGAGCGAGGAACTCACAGTTTTGAGTGGCTGCTTATTCACCACCACCCATGGGGCATATTCATAAGGTGGATTGAGACTTTCAGTCTCATTACCATGTTGAAGCAGAAGATGCAAACATTCAATGTCAAGAGTGGACCGTAAAATCGAAGATTTCGGAGAAAAAACCAAAGGAATGATACTAAGATATGCAGGCAACCTTCATTCCAATTCAGTAGCATAGCATTTGTTTGTCATGTCCCCTCTCAATCCCAGTTGGTCACTGCAATTTCTCCACATTGCTTCTTCGCTGCTAACTGGCACCTCCTTTAACCTCTGTTCTTCCGTGCAGCGAACGAAACCGAAGCGCGTTTTCTGCACCGCATTAAAATAGTTGATAACTAATCCGAACCCGAATCCAAATCCAAACACTTTCGGCTAATAGAACTTACCTCATCAGGCCACAAGTGGATGACACAGCTATGTATGGCATTCAAGTCGCATTCATCTTCTCCATGCTGCACATAGTTGCAAAGAGTTAACAGTACTAGGATTAACTTCAGTAACCACGAGAACACAAGCAAGCAACCGAAGAATCGAGTTCGAACCTGGCAACGGATTAAATCGCCGACGATGTCGGCATTACCCCAAGGGACCAACCTTAGATTGACAATGGTATACGATCCGGATCGGTTTTTATCCGATCTGGTTTTTTTCCATAGAAAAAAAACCGGTTTATAAAATAACCGGTTCGGTTTCTAACCGGTTTGGAGGGCCGGATATCCTAACCGGTGTAACCGGTTTCGGTTTTAAAAAAATCGATTTTTTTAAAAAACCGGTTATAAAAAAACCGATTTTAATATTCCAGATTGCTCATAGGGAACCGATTCCCCCCAAGGGGGTACCGATTCCTCACTGAATGGTTTGGCTCCGAGATTTCCAGAATGCTCGGAGGGAACCGATTCCCCCATAGGGGTACCGATTCCCCCCTATTCAACGGTCGAAATATTTGAATTTTACACTTAGGGAACCGATTCCCTATGAGAGGGTACCGATTCCCCCACGCTCTAAGCATTTTTATTAAATGTTTTCACACTTAAACGGCTATATTATCTTCATTAATTATCACTAACGTTCAGAAGTGAT